TACGAGGCAGGCACCAGAACCACTGAGCTAAATCCCCGGCCCCCCAATCAGTCTTAACCACGTATTCTTAAAGCATTTTTCATCCTTCTGGAAATTCTTAATGACTCTTCTCTAAATACTTGATGCTGGAATAAAGTTTACAGTTTCTGAACTGGTACCATTTTGTCATGGTAGAAAAGAAAGAGCAGCATTTTATAGCTTAGTCAATTTTTTTTTCTTCATAGAAATTAAGACCCAAAACATTGAAATGACTGTGGCAGCCTTCTTAATTTTGAAGTGTTGCTTCTTGTCAGATTTCAAAGGAAAGGATGACTGAAGTGCTTTGCAGCTGGCCCTCCTGTCAGGATTGCAAACTGGATAGGCTGGGAGGCCAAACACTTGGGACAACCCACAGGGATCGTGTAGCAGGTATTATTTGCCACACTGCCCTGAAATGCCTTACTCAGACTTGGCTTCTTCCATCCCACCGAATTCCAAGTCTTTCCCACCCTCCCATTTTCCACTCCCCTCCCATTCCTTAGCCCAGCTCCTCAGCCACAGCGGCTCTTGGCTTTGGTAGTGTTTGAACGGAAATCCCAGCTCAGAGTAGAATGTAATTATAAACCAAGATGGTGCTCTGATGGGGACTTTTCACGCCTGTGGTAAAACTCAAGAGGCTATCGGGAAAATCAGAGTGAGCTGCTCTTTAGTAATATATTTTTAGTAAATTACCACTCTGAGTGAAGAATAAGAAAGAGCTAAGGAATCTATACCAACAGGAAGAGGTCTCCTCCTGAGACTTGGGTGGAAGCCACACCACGGACAAGGAATGACTGGGCTCCAGCTGTATTTTCCTTGCCCACAGTCCAGACTGCAATACTCCGTTCCTAAGGTGTTCTCAGGAAAGCCCCTTGTGATGTGATTCTTTTTGTTTTTTAATAGCCCTGCTGCTGGTAATTCTCCTGCCAGCAAACACACTTGCTAGGCACATTTCAACTTCATGTTTTTGCTGCAGTAGAATTCTTGCCAAGACCAAATTCTCCCGTGAAATATACATGGGAGGTTTGAACAGCATGAAAGCTGAGTCTTGTTCTCCTTGATCCCTAGATCTTAGGTACTATCTCGGCTCAGGCCACTGTCCCCTCTCCCACAGTTTAAATCTCACCACTTCTTTGACGTGCAGGGTCACTACGTCTTTGGAACTCTCCTGCGGTTGGCGTAGGTTGTTTTCACTCATCCACCCGTGAGGGAGTGTGTTTCTTCTCACCTCTTCCTGAAGGCCCGGGAGACCATCTGTGATCCAGCTGTTTAGCTCTGACCCCACGTATCTTGGGGGGGGGATCAAATGCAGCGCTGACACTGAGCTCAAATCCTGAGCCACAAAGGGGTCACAGCAGAGCATAATGGCAAGCGCCCCTGTGGACAGCAGCTTGATGCGTGGATGGGTCCTGAGTCCTCTTGAGAGGGACCAGCCGGAGCCCAACCTATAATTCAGTCCTCTGACTCGGTTCTTAAATTGACATCCTGTCTGTTTTGGCCTCACGTCTTTCTTGGAAAGGCAGCTACAGATGATGCCTAGTTACTTTGTGGCTTATGGCTGAGCTCAACACCCAGGAGAAGAGGAGGAGCGCCTTGCTCCTATGGGCGGGAGCCAGGGTCAGCTTATTTCCCCCTCAAACCAGTGGGGCCCACCCAAAGAGGGCCCTTCAGTACTGTTGGTTACACGACTGATGCTGTGGATGAGGTACAGTAGTCTCATGTGTTCAGAGGTGAGGCTTTGTGAAGGTGGTTGGATTATGAAACGCTAATGTTATCAGTGGATTAACCCTTTGTTGAAGGAATTGGATCGTGGAGGCATAACGTTAGTTATAGCAAGTCCCTAGCCCCTTCCTCTTGGGCCCTTTCTATCTCTCTCTGCTTTTTTGCTACCATGAGTTAATTAAGCAGCTTTCCTCTACCACGAGCTTCTGTCTCATCATAGGCCTCAGTCAGTGGAACCAGCAGACCATGGACTGAAACTTCTGAAATCATAAGCCAAAATAAATTCTTTCCTCCTTTAAATTGAAAATTTTTGGTATTTGTCACAGCAATAAAAAGCCGACTAACACACTGAATAAAGGGAGAAATGCTGTCCAGATCCTGTTGGCTCTGGACTGTCAACTTTTATCTTCCAGCATTGATAGGGCTGTTATTTCCTGGTTGTGTTACCATCCTTTACCCACAGAGCTGGTCATCTTTGAAGTACTGAGAAGGGTGGAACAGACAGCTACAGAGAAGAACAAATCACCTCGAATATGACTTAGCAATGGGGGGAGGTCTTCCCAGTTCCCTCACCCTCCCAGCAGAAACTGCTCTTCAGCATGTCCTGGAGCAGTCAGGAAAATACAAAGTTCTCCTTCTGCTTTATGAGTGCAGGAAGATTGATTACAGTGCCCCACCCACTCAGGACTGCTGCCCTCTTGGTTCTGTTTCACTTGGTTAAGGCTTTTTCTTCCCTTCCCTTCAGTAAAGAAAAGCAGCAATGAAGTTGTTTTAAAAAACAAGATGAAAGGTTCCTGAAATTCCTTTTCCCTTCCCAAAGTCTCTGGAGTGCTTCCCTTTACCAGGAGTACTAGCTCTAAATCAGTATAACGTGTCTTGGTTTGTAGAAGACTTTGCCCACCAAGTGGAATTTTCCATACAAGGGTTGGTAGTGAGTGTCAGGGTAGTAGAGCTAAATCCCCGGTCCCCAGTTACTCTGGATTCTAAGCCTGCTATTCTGTGAAGAGCCTGAGTTAAGCCTGGGCACCTAGGAGGACCACTTCTGTCCTCGGAGATCTAGGATGGCCGAGACCGCATGGTTCATACAGAAGTGAAGTTTAATTTGGTGTAAACTAAGAAAGAGTCCAACAGGAAAAGCAGGGAAAGCTGAATCAAGAGCACCCAAGACCTGCACAGGGAGGAGGCTCTGAACCATCGGGTAGCAGAGTATCTCTCTACTGTTGGCCTTGAACCTCATAGTTCTGAAATCCTTTTGAGAAAGGGCTTTACGAGAAGAGTCGTCTGAGTAACGAAGACGTCCACATGCAGAGAATCAGGACCAGTTCTGTCTTTTATCCTCCAAATTCCTGTCAGACATCATTTGTTCATGGAAAGGTATTTAGTGATTGATCTCGATTTTAAGGCACTTCCCAAAAAGCAGTTCTTGGCATTCCAAAAATCTACTTGTCGCTCTTTCTCTTGTTCTTTTTTAAAATCTTTCCTATAAGTACTCATTAAAAATATTTGTGGCAACTAAGTTTATTGGATTCTGTGTTGCATGGAATTTGGAAAACGTTTTCCCGGGTCAGAAGGTTGGGGCTGCTGTCTGTCTTGCGTATTCCCTTTCAGGACTTGCAAGCAGGTGGTTCTCTTTACAGCTGCCACCAGCTCCCAGGACTCGGCCCTGTCACCCACATAGGGAGAATGTGTTCGTCTCCTCTGGAGTGGAGTCCCTCTGTCACAGCTGTACGGGGAGAAGGGTCCTTTCCTGCCTTGTTGGTGGCCTCTCCAACAAGCCAGGGGCACTTTAATGACTCCTTGTTTGTCGAGAGCTCCAGTTAAGTTACTTCGATGGAAAGCCTCCCTCTTTTAGAAGGCACAGGAGTGGGAAGAAATCATAGGCAGGCCTCACACCACACAGATTCTGCTGCAAATGGAAGAGAACGTTGATTCTCCCCGATGGGGAAGCCCTTCGGCATCTCCAGGCAGTGCTGCTGGAGACGTGGAACTACGGTGTGTGGCCCAGAGAACCTAAGCATTTCCCGGGCCCCAGGGATCGTCTTCTGCCTGGAAACTCACTTGTCTCTTGGAAGTTTGTAAATTGGACGCTTGTGATTTTTCAGAATTGCAGCAGAATTCTTGCTAAGTGGAGTGAGACTAATAATACAACACTGAGGAGTTTGGCTGGTTTTCAGCATAAAAACTGGCCTCCAAGAAGATCAGAGTAAGGAGTGGACTCCCCCACTTCTACACTGTAGCAGAAAGGGTTCCAGAAAATGGGAGGGGGCCCCAGAGGGCCCCAGCGGAGTGGAATGGACTGAGGACACAACAGAGCCAACTGCAGATCACTAGAGCAGAGCAGAAGAAAAGCCATCCCTGGGGCTTTGATCACCGAGTCAGATTGCCAGAGGGTTTTATTGTCTGCAAATGTATTTATTTTTGAAGAATTTCTTCAAGGTGAACAGAAGCTATGGACAGTGACTGAAGCAGGCTTTTTCAAACAGTGTTCCAAAGGACCCTTGGTTTCAGTAATCACATCACAAGTGAAATTAGAATTTAGTCTGTGTGCGTATGAGCCGTGATACAGTTTTTCGATTAAAGTGGTTGGGACGGTTACTTCCAAAGCATTTTGTGCTGTCAGTTACCATTACATTATACATCTATCATCACCCTCTTCGTTGGTTTCCAAGTGCAATTAAGAACCTCATCAGAAAGCAAATGCTTTGCCCACTTCCCGTTGATTAAAAAATACTTGTATTTTGTTGTTGATAGAACCCAAGTAGACATAGCACCAAAGAGTTTGGCACAAATTACCTCTAAGTTTTCACCCACAATCTTGCTATCCTGATACTGACTCAGTAATTTAGAACTTTTCCCCTAACATCCATGCTACCAACTCAAACTAGGAATCTTTTTTTCAACCGTAGATATGGTGTTACAGACGTTACCATTTAAACAGAATCTCACAATTTAAAAATTACTTGAGTGTAGTTAGTCTGTGGCTTCAAGAATCTGAACATCTTAAGCACTCCACTGCCTAGTTAGAAAACACACAAATAAGATGGGTCCTATCTCTCTCCTAGATTTTTGAATAACAATTGTTGTGATTATTTTGGTGCCGGAGATTGAACCCAGGACCCTGTGTGTGCTAAGTGTGCCCTCTGCCACCAGCCCTCTGGCCAGTTTGATTTGAGTAGCAGACAGGGAGAAAGAAAACAAACAGGAAACCCTCAAATGTGTCTCCAGGCTCAGGCTTCTGTCTCTTCTTTCTCGTTCTACAGCTCCGGAAGTTCTTGCCCAGAAACCTTACAGCAAAGCCGTTGACTGCTGGTCCATCGGGGTGATTGCCTACATCTTGTAAGTATTGCTTGCTGCTTGGCTTCTCCGCACTCCCCCCTTTTATTGTGGCAAAATATACATAACACAAAATTTATGATTTCAGCTGCTTTAAGGGTCCCATTCAGTGGCATTAAGTGTATGCCTGGTGATGCACCGTTGTTACCACTAGTCGTTTCTGAGACCTTCTTTTCATTTCAAACTGAAATTTTGTACCTATAAACAAGAATCCCCTCCTCTCTGTGCTCCTGCTCTCCTCCATCTGCTTTGTGTCTTGATTCTGACTACCCTGGGCACCTCACATAAGCGGGATCGCACAGTAGCTTTCTTCCTGTGACTGTCTTACTTCACTTAGCATCATGCCCTCAGAGATATCTGTGTCAGAATCGCCTCCCTTTCTAGGCGAATCTGTATTTCACTGCATGTATGAACCGCACTTGCTTTATCCCTTCATCTCTCCCTGGGCATTTGCACTGCTTCCACCTTGTGGCAGTTAGCTTCACAATTATTGTGAATAATGCTTTTGTGAACATAAATGTGCAAGTGTCTGTTGGAACCTCTGCTTTCGGCTCGTTGAGTTATATAAATCTAGAAGCAGCATTGCTGGGTCATATGATAATTCTGTGCTTAACTTTTGAGGAACTGCACAGTTTCTATAACAACAGCTTAAATTCACATTCCTAGTAGTAATGCACATGCTTCCAGTTTGTCTACATACATGCCAAAACTTATATTTTCCAATTTTTGATAATATCCATCCTGGTGGGTGGGAATTGATACCTCATTTTGATTTTGGTTTGCATTTCCCTAATATCTGTTTTTGTCTCATCTCAGCTTTGGGAGGAAGATAAACCATATGAAAACACTAGGACATTTCTAAAATAAATCACAATTAGGAAGAATGTAATGAAAATCAAAATTTAGGGACAGGGATTTAGCTCAGTGGTTTCACTGCCTGCTGTGCAAGTGCAAGGACCCGAGTTCGATCCCCGGTACCAAGAAAAAAAGAAAATCAAAATTTAGTATTTTTCTTTTTTGGATTTCTCATTTCTTCTCAGATACCTTATCTCCCCAACCCAGGAAATGGAGTCCTAGGCCTTTGGTTTGTTGCACGTGTTTCAAAATCATTCATTGTGTTTCATTTTGTTTTGCCTGAAGCTATTTTTTAATTGCAGTTTCTTTCTGCAGTTAAAGTTTCAAATTCTCATTATGTGGTGGTGTGCCATCTAGCTCCTGTGATAGCTGGGAATTGTTTTCCCTCCTCCTTATCCCCAGGGAAGGGAATTTCTTCTGGCAAGCAGAACCCATCCCTGCACACAAAGAAAAACTGCAGGGGATTGTGAGAAAGTTTCTCCTCCGAGAATGGTGACCACAACTCCCCATATCAATTTTACCTCATTACCTAGCAAGCAAATGGTCTTTCTACAGCAACATTCACTGGGTGGCTTTGGTAATTGAATGTGGATTTAGATGACAGCTCCTGTAGATTCTTGCCATTATCACAGGAGAATTGTATCCATAGTAATATACTTGGCCTGGAGGGCCCCCATTTATGGAAATAGGTAAAGGGCAGATTCCGCTGTGTAGTCCTTTCTCTTTCAAAGTGTGTCGGTCACCTCCTGCAGCAGTTTTCATTCTTTTGTGGAGGAAATGGGTTACAGACCCTTTTGAGAATCTAATGAAAGTCAGGATCCCTGTATCCTGATAAAATCCCTTGCGTGCACACACATCATTTGGCATGCCATTTTAGGGGGTTCCTGCATAAACAGATATTGGACGTAGGCCCTGTGTTATTCACCCTGGCTCCCTAAATTCTCAACTGCAGTTCTGATCAAAGGTCTTGCCTCGTGCAGCTTGATTGAAGGCTTTTCTGCAAGGACCAAAGCTGGTGTTAATCGTTTAGAGAAATCTTCCCTAGGACTGGGGAAAATCACCCCTGTTCCGGCCTTCTGGCTAGTTGTTCCTTTATGTCTCTCTTTGAGCCTGGAACCATGACTTCAGTGTGCACTAATGTGTGTGGAATCGCTTTGGGTGTGTATAATACAATTATGTCCCTGAAGTCTTAGCCTTGAGGGAGGGCTTTGGTACAGCCCTAGGAGGTGCATATTCACTGATCATTTCTTCAATTAGTGGGATAAGCAATTTAAAAACTAAGAAACGATGGATGTCTGAGACCTCAGGCTGCTAGAACAAAATCCCATATGGTAGGTGATTTAAACAGCAGACATTTATAGCTCACATTCTGGAGGCTGGGAAGTTCAAGGTGCCGGCATGTTCAGTGCCTGGTCAAGGCCTCCTTCCTGGCTTGCAGGCGGCCGCCTTCTTGCTGCGTCCTGCTGTGGTAGGCAGAGTGCCCCAGACCACGCTCTCTGGTATCTCTTCTAAACCAGTCATTAGCACAGAAATGGGGCTGTCGTGATGGGCACTGAGCCATTACCACCCTTTACCTTCAGTGCCTGTGACAGTGCCTAAAGTGGAGAAAGTTCTCCAGGAAATCTGGTTGTTGGTGGTGTCGATGGTAAATTCGAGGCTGGTGGTCTTTCTGCACATCTGACTGCAGGAGTTCATGGGATGAAGCTATGGTTGAGGACGGGCATAGGGAAGACGGGCACCACTAGCTGTCTGTCTCGGCATTTTGATAAGAATAACATAAGCAAAGAGGAGAGAGAGTACATCCACCCTGCAGAGGGATGCAGGCCTGGGGCAGAGGCGCCATGGGACCTGGAGGGTTGATGGAGGTGTGAAGATTCCTGGGCTGGTGAGGTTGGCAGGAACCAGTGTTCAGAGGAAGCTCAGGCACTTGCTGCCTCCCCATGAGCCTCCATTCCTGGTCCCCAGCCCTGTCCATGTCTGTACACTACGAGCAAGGCAGCTGAGCAGCCAAGACCAACAGGCGCCCCCTGGGGAGACAGCTACGCCAGGGGCCTGGCATCAAGCTCCTCCTCCTTCCTCTCCACTAGGATGGAAGGGAGCTTTGGGAGAGCAGCGCTTATTTTCACTTGATGAGCCTGTCGCACTGAGAGACCAGCAGAAGTGGGCAGGCAGGACCCAGCACCATGCCTTGTCCTGTCCATGCAGCTGGAACATTCCTCACTTTGCCAGTGCAGACACTGGTTAAATTGACTCTTTTGTCTCCTACACCCATTTCTCTGTTTTCCCTCATTGGAAGGAGAAATCAGTTTTCCTATCCAAGGTATGAATTAAAACACACACACACTCTCTTCATGGGCCCTCATCCTGCCAGAGAACTTCTTTGGGGGATTAGGATTTGCAGAATACATCTTTCAGCTCCTGGGAAAGAGAGAGGACAGAGTGTGTTGAAATCTCACACAGTGGGCTTGGTGCAGGAGACAGCACGAGTTCCGAAGAATGGATTTCTTCACTCAAGATGCAGAGTGGGGTCTCAGGGACCAAAGTGTTTTTGTGATGACAAGTTCTGCCTTCCTTCTCACAACTTCAAGGAGATCAGTTAATGAGCATTGCTCTAAATTAAGCTCATGGTTGCAAAAACTGCAGAGAAACACAGTGACTTTTTGGAAATAACGAAACTGAGAAAGATCCTAAGAGGTTCCCTCTCCCACAGAGAAGCAGGCCAGTCAGAGGCTGGACAGGTTCTGGTGGGCATGGCCTGGCCTCCATCTGGAAGAAACGCTACATAGAATACAGATGATAATGATAATATCCCTAGTTTTCCACTCCCTCCTGCATTGTCCACTGTCTAAGTGACATAATGTTGGTTTGCCCATGTACACAGCTTAATTGGCTTTTGGACCACAGGCTGGCTAATCTGCATGCGGAGCCTGTTTCCTGAGAGAAAGCAGATCCTGGGCTGTTCCCATCCCTTTGAACAATTGACAGCTGGCTCTTTATGGAGCACACATGTTCCGGGGAGGGACCACGACACCCAGCATCTGTGGCAGAGCTCAGCACAGACCCTGAGCCCCAGCCCCAAGCCGAGGGGATTGCAGCGCAGTGCTTCCTGCGTCGTCAGTGTTCCTCCGAGTATGCGCACTTGCCGCTCTGGCAGCGGAGGCAGCAGGCGTCCCCTTCCCCATGGGATCTGCAGTGTGGGGCCACCCTGAGCCCACAGCCTGGATTTGGGCTTTAGAACTTTAGAAACTAAATTAAATCTGTTTATTCATCTTGCCCCCTTTGATGATCCCTGTGAAAGGATTCATACTAACCAGACTCAAAGGAGACTAAAAAACCCCAGCATGTCCATTTACTAAATCACACTGAGATTCATGCCCACGAGGAGATTGGATACAGTATGTGTGCCAGTGAACAGCACATCTGTCCCTCTAGGGAGTGCTCCGGGGTACCGACTCAAACCAGAAGCTGACTTTGTAGAGGGCGCTGGAGTTGGGGGTCTCAGATGTGCTCATAAAGCTGGCGTTGGTCTCTGGGTTGCTCTTTGCAACCCAAGGAAGTTTCTGTCCAGCAGCACAGCCCTTCCTCTTTCTGCTAGAGTGATTGTGGCTGCTCGCTTCTCCCCACACCTGCCCTGTGCAGCTTCAAAGCCTGACCGCCAGCCGCTGGATGCTCTCTCTGTCTAGTTCAGCATTCATGGACACAAGGCCTGCCTGGCCCTGTTCCAGCTTCATTTCTCCCTGCTTCGGGGAAGGGACTTGGTTAATTGTGTGTGCCATTCCCTTGCAGTGTTCTGGTTTCAGAGTGGGTACTGGTTCTGCACAGCATCGAAGGGCACCTCTGACGACAGTGAAATTGAGGGACAGGAATTCAGCATTTTACCAGGTGGCGGGAGCGGCCCCCTGTTGTGTCCACTGATACCCGCGGCACTGGATGCAGAGACCCTGGGTGGAGAAGGCTCTGCGGAGAGGGAGGCAGGAAGGCAGTGGCTCACGTATGTCACTTTAGCACCCTAAATCGTGCGGCATCAGGCCAGATGGGAGAACATTTTATTCCCTCTGCTCTTGTGATTTTCATCTCAGCATCAGCCCCTGGAAACTATTTCTGTGGCAGCTAAATGCTTTGGGATATTTAACCTGAGAATGGAGGGC